ACTTCCAGCTGTGAGATATCTTCCTGCCCTCTTGTACCTTCTGTGAGAGATCTAGAAATAGCAAGGAACTTAAATACCAAGCTAAAGATAGAGCAAAGTAACAATCTGCTTGAAGTTTTGGGCTCCTGCAATTATTCTTGTTCTCTATAGTGTTGGTGCCAGCCTGCCCCCGCCACCACCCATGAAGTGTCCAACACAACTCCTGGATCTTTGTAGGCTTGAGTTAACTGACTGTTAGTGATTTCTGGGACAGTAATCTGGCCAAGAATTCTTCCTCTCACTTAGTTTCTGTTTACATCTCCATTCCAAAGACAGAGGTGTGCCTGGTGATGAAGTTGTTCTGGGACCTTAGTAAATAAGAACATGCACCTGCATCCATAGAACCAAGACTGTGTCAGAACAGGTGACATCCTGGAAGAGCCCCCTTTGTAGCTGCATAGATCTCAGTCTTATTAATATTATGCATTGAATTATCATCTTTGAAATACTCCATCCTTCCAAAGAAATAACCCTTGTTTATTTTTTAAAACTTTTACTGGGGGTGCCTGAAGGCGTGAGGAAGATTCATAATGCCTCTGGTTCCTGGGCTTGAGATGGAACATCACACATAAAGAAAATTTGAGAAACTATCCCAGACTCCTGCGTTAATGTCTTTTGTCTGAGAAAATGTTATAGTCGGGTAGCCTTTATTACAAGAAATCTCTTCAAATGGGTCTTCACCATCCTGAGGATCCCCGACATCTGGCATGTCCCAGGTGTCTCTCTTACCTTCCTCATTTTATTACATTTCCCCATCTTTCCATTATCCAATCTTGCGCATCCTTCAAACTTTGCCTACTTCCTGCCGCTTCTCTGAAGTATGGAGTCAGAAGTGTATAGTCAGTGTCAAAAAGTGAAGGGAAAGTGTCTGTCCTGCAGCTTCGAGGGCTCCCAGCATCTAGCAATCTTAATGGATTGTGCTTTAAAAATCTCATCCAACCTTCAAAGTAGGTATGGCCATCTAGAACAAACCACCTTCACAGGGCCTCTTCCCATAGTTCAGCAAAGAAGCCTACTGGTAGAGATGCATGGTTCTATTGAAGGAACCGGCTTCCCTTTTGGCAGCCATAACAGCCGAACACGTGCTTGCCATAAACCTGCCTTGGTCACGTAGAGGTCAGATGCCTGTCTCGTGACAAGGAACCTTAGTCACTTAGAGGTCAGATGCCTGTCTCGTGGCAAGGAACCAATCAGAAGTTAGCTGGTGGCGCTATGCTTTACGACCCTGGGTGTGCTTTACGGACAAGCGCACGACAATGATGTAAGAGCATAGCAACCACCCTGGGAGGGCCTATGGGCCATAACAACCAGTTGACCAATCAACACAGGGCAAGCCCTCCAAGCCTGGAGGCACACCAATCGTGAGCGTACCTGTGCGTACCCCTAGACACTCCCCTTACGCTGCCCTATAAGATCTTTTGGGAGACCCAAGGAGCCGTCTTTTCTAGCTGTCCGCCATGGCGGGTGGGTGAAAGACCCGAGCTAACATGAACCTGGCCTGAGACCCCGGATACTTGAGTTTTCGGGGGTCTAACACTATCAGGTCAAGGAGAGTCAGTGGGAAAGAGTTGCAAGTATTTGGGCCTCAGCTTTGGTGTGTCCTCTGAGTTTCTGAGGTACTTGCACTTTTGGAGATGCGGTGCAGGCAGATCTCGGCGTGAAGGGGGCACTCAGTGCATTGCCTTGACCTGATAACCACATCATGGATTGAGCTAGATTCACATCACTGTGACAGACACCTGAGATGTTCAGAGTATGAAGAGAATGGGGGATGTCTGTGCCTCCTGGGCTGAGGGAACTCAAGGTCATGGTTGGTTGTTTCACTGTGGTCCTGTGCCAAGGCAGTGCAACATGGTGGAAACATAATCCAGGGCAATACCACTCCTTTTCTAGCCAGGAGAGGAAGTGGGGGAGGGTCATGGTCCCCTATCACCTCCAAGGCTACACCTCATCCATCTAACAGCTCCCATTAGATCACACCTCTTAAAATGCCATCTCCCAATGGCATCAGGTTTATCCTAGAACTCTGACACATGAGCTGTCAGGCAACATTTAAGATCCAAACTACATCCCAGACACAGTCAGTCATGAGCCTGTGATTATCTGGGACAGCACCAGGCACCTAAAGGCTGCCTGGTGCTGTCATTGCTGCAGGGTGGTCTCAAGGCCAGTAGCACAGTTGCACTTGAGCACTAGTGGGAAATTCAGACAGAAGCTTGGAACCCACTCCAAGCACATGAATGAGAATAGGATTTTAAGTCCCTAAGGAATTTATATGCAAAATAAAATCCTGAGAAGCACTTCCCCTCTCATACAAACTTGACAAAATCTGTTTTCTCATTTAATGAGGTAGTATTATCATAAGGAGTCACGCTCATTGTACCTTTTCTTTCTCCCTTTTGTGCTGTTATATATCCATCCCATCAAAACAACATTGCAGGAAGTGAAAACCAGCCCTTGCATGCCGGAGGGTGTTTAGGAATCCCCCACAGAGTGCCCAGTCTGTCTTGCTCACACAGAGGTATGTGGCCTCCATGTCTTGTGAAGCCATTCTTCAGCCTGCAAGTCAGTTCTCCTGAGTTGACTGGCACTCTTGAGCCTGACCAGAGCATTTCCTGGGTATCTTCCCAGTGTCTACCCTAAGCTGTGGCTCTCTTATTTTGCCCAACAGAAGAAAACACTAGCCCTGTTTGAGGCTCCTGCCAGGCCCATTATAGGTAGCTCATCTGTTTTGCTGATGCTCTGTGTATTAATTACCTGGAGACAAGCATCCTGTAATACATTCTTTTAAAGAATAATGGGCTCTTGCCAAAGATAACCAAACTTCCCATTCTTCCATATTTATTCATTACCAAAAACAAAACAAACAAAAATCCAAAGTGGGAATGGCGTCATTTAGGTATGTTTGATTTCATTCTTGTTTTACTCTTAAAAAAAAAAAAAAAAAAAAATCTCCCAGGAGTCAGTCAACCCAGTTTCAACAAAGGAAATACAATTTATCTTTGTTAAACTCTCAAACTAAGTGAAATCAGAGTTCTGCAGATTTAGAAAAAAGGGAGAAGATGCTTACATCTCCCTACTAAACCAGTCTGATCAACTGTGGGGTATAGGGCTTTGATCAGCCACACCACGCTAGCTTTCCAGAGAATGGGGCCTTATGCCTTGTTTGGGAGACCCCATGCTCCCCAACTTCTTTTTCAGCTGTTCTGAGATCTTCTCTTGTGCCTGGGGATCAATTTCAGAGTAACACCATTGCAGACTTGTACCAGAGTGCTAGGCTGGTAGTCTAGGGACTACCATTCCAGACACTCAGGGGGCTCTTCCTCTATACCTATTGCTCAGTCTCCAAGATGGTTCAGCTGGATTTGCCAACCTCTCTAATTCATGCCTGTGAGGTTTCCCCGAGGTCTGTTGACCAATGCAATATTTCCTCATAATCACAAGGAATGGAGCTAACAGAAGTACTGGCTTGGGGTGACTCTAATAATTTCTATAGATAGGGTCCTGGAAATATGTTTTCCTAAGGCATCATATTTTCTAGGGATGGCTTTAATAAGCAGCATCTAGGGACTAATATTATATTCTAGCTGGAGAATAAAGCTGGGGAAGGCAGAGTGTGTCAAAAAGCAACGGGACATGGGCAGCACACACGCCAGAAGTTCCCTGAAGCCTAGATCTTGAATAGCTAGGATGTGAAATCACTCCCCCAACCCCACATGCTCCCTGTAGATACAACACTTTCCTGCTCCATAGCCAGAGTGGACACAGAATGGTTGAGCGAGCACACTTTGGGTCAGAATATGCCTTTGGGTGGTAGGGGAAAGTATGACTGTTTCCTGAGCTTTTATTGTTCTGCCTAAGTCTCAGGAGCACAGAGGATCAGGCAGCAGGTCTGTGAGAAAAGAAAATGATTCTGCCTTTTGGTCTTTACACTGCTAGGATTTTCAGGGGTGCATAGTGTTCCAACAGAACTCAGAGAAAGTGAGCTTGCTCCCTAGCAATGAACCAGGGCATAGGATGGGAAGGGGTAAAGGGAAGGGTCCTGGCTTCAGTAAAAGCATACAATAACACATGAAAGCAAAACAATTTTTCAACCTTCAAATATTTTGGATATCAATCTGCTAACTTTATATGTGTGTAAGGGTGAGGCTTTTAGGATGACCCCCAAAACCAGGTATGGAATCTTTGGGGTGTTCTAACAACTAGAGGCCCATTTCTTACTGTGTTTATTTTTGACAAGTTTTCAAGCAGTTTTTATATCTACACAAAATAACTCATCCATCAATTCTCTAGTCTATTCCACTGTAGTTTAAATTTTTAAATTTTAAAGTGACAACTAAAATTGTATTTATTTATCATGTACAGCATAATATTTTTAAAAATATATATGGACATTGTGGAATGGCTCAATCGAGCTGGTTATTTATTATCTGTCTCAGGTTGAAAGTGAACCAGGAACTTTGGATTTATTTGTATTAAAATGTGAAATACATTACATTTATCCTATACTACAAGGAATTAGTTAGCTTTTATTTTATATGCAAAGGCATTTCTATACAATGAAAAAATAAAAAATATTGTTTATAAAAACCTAACGTTACTTGCAGTGTTTTATTATATTATTGATCATGACAGATCTGTTTAAGCTGTCAAGCTTTATTAATGAACTGGGATATTTATAATGCACGTTCTTAATTAACTCTTACAATAATCATTGAAGAAAATATTGATAGTTCATTATCATCAAATGCTCTACACAAGTTAATGTGATTTGCCTGCAAATACACTTATTCAAGACTCCATCACAGAATATTTTACTTTGTAGCACCCTATCTCTTTGTTGGATGTTCAGCCCCATTCCCTGGCTTTGCCTATTCCCTTTACATTCTCACACTCCTCAATGTTTCTGTCTCTAGAGTAACAGGTCTACATTGTTTTCTGCCCCATCTCTGTCTTCCCAGAAGGCCAGGGCTTTGTGAGCGAGGATGAATACCTGGAAATCTCTGACATCAAACGCGACCAGTCCGGGGAGTACGAGTGCAGCGCCTTGAACGATGTTGCTGCACCTGATGTGCGGAAAGTAAAAATCACTGTCAACTGTGAGTTGATCCGCTGTTGGGGAATTCTCAAGGGAAAGCGGGCAGGGATTAAACCAACAGTCTAGAAATGACAGCACCTTTTTCCCGAAGCCCCATACTCCAGGGCAGAGTTTTATCAGATTGCTTGCCTATCAACACCTGTGATGTCATTTAGAGCTGGAGTCTTCCCGGGACTCTCAAAGCTCTCAACAAGTGAGGGCTATGACTAATTTCAGATGGATTTGAAGGCCTGAAAGGCAAATATAACACCTTCACATTTAAATGTAACATCTTAAAATAAATGGTCGTTTTACTAAGAGGAGGGGGGGTGTCACCATTGGACAAATGATTCTTCTTCCCTGGAGTCACTTTTTTTTTGGTGGGGGGGGCTTGCTTGCTTTTGTTTCCACAGACCCTCCCTATATCTCAAAAGCGAAGAACACTGGTGTTTCAGTCGGTCAGAAGGGCATCTTGAGCTGCGAAGCCTCTGCTGTCCCCATGGCTGAATTCCAGTGGTTCAAGGAAGATACCAGGTAACTTGAAGGAACTGGGACTGCTCTGAAGCAGAGCCGATTAATCATGCGTCCCCCTAGATGGTGGGTAATAAACTCCAGGGGGAAAATAAAGCAAGATAAAAATATGTTATAACCTCCTTTGTAACCGAGTTTCCTTTTAGAATCAGAAGTGAGAAGAAAAGGAAAAAAAAAATGAAGGAAGTCAACAAAATGAATTGACCTTGTTTTAGAATTTTGGGTTAGTCATGGATTTGGCAGGCTCCAGTGAGTTGTCTTTTGAATACGACGATTCCTTTTTCCTCATAATAGAGGACATGGCACTTAAAACTTGTGTTGAAGGGCTGGGATAGTCAAAAGAAAGGCATTTGAATAGGACATCATTGTGGTAATTCTAGGACTCCCCTTTGCTTTCTTTTAATACCTGCTGCTTCCCTTGATGGTGGGTCCAGACCAACAGTGCTTTGTCCTACTGCAGGTTAGCCACTGGCCTGGATGGAGTGAGGATTGAGAACAAAGGCCGTATATCCACTTTGACTTTCTTCAATGTCTCAGAGAAAGATTATGGGAACTATACCTGTGTGGCCACAAATAAGCTTGGGAACACCAATGCCAGCATCACACTGTATGGTGAGTGCAGGAAGCCTGGATCTGGAGGGCTTGGCCATGTGAGGGAGCTCCAGGAGCTTGGGAGGGTAATAGACACAGTCTGCTTGGCCTGTTTCCATCCATATTGCTCAACCCACCACCCTTAGCTAAAAAGTACTCCTCTCTATCATTCCTCTGGCATGCCATGCAGTCATGTTTCCAAGATAATTTATTCTGGCCAGGTTTGCTCCTTTTAAAAGGAGTAAGCCAAATCTGGATGAACTGTGATTGTGGATTCCATATGAGACAGAAATTCATGGGAAAATTCAACAGTAATATCATCTGAAGACAAATGAGAAGACAGAAGTTTGTGGGAACAAATGAGAAGCAAATTGTAAGATGTGATAACTTCCATAATAAGAGTCTGTGTTCCTGGGATCTCAGTCCTAGTTTTAAACCAAGTCAACTGTTGTCATCCTGATTCTCCTGTGGATCACCAGGTCATCTTCTCATACAAGGGGATAATTGGGGAACAGAAGTCTGAGTCCTCATCAGGAGGGCCCTTCTATTCCCCTAAAAGCTCAGACCATGTTCTGGAGATCTATTTCTCCTTATGGATGGAGATGCCAAGGGGCCATAAATGGCTGCTTTGGAAGCCCTTCCCCTTCCTCACTCCATCTTCCCATACTACTGTGTCCATATTTCCACACAACGTTTCATTTCATAGACCAGCATCAGCTTACAGTGGTATTTCATATATGTGTGTATGTGTTTATTTGCTGAGGTTTGATGAGAGGGAATCATCTGATGAACAGGGTGCAGACCCATTTTTCCATGTGCACCTCAGATGTAACAAGCTTGACATGTACTGAACTTTGTCCACCAACCATCTGAAATGTGTGATCTATGTCTTCTGTTTTCTCTCTGCATTGTGTGTGCATTGTGCTGTGTGTGTCTTAGAAATAAGCCCCTCATCAGCAGTGGCAGGTGGGTACAGCATGCTCCTTCCTTCCTCTGCCTGCCTGAATGCCTATGCTCTTGTATTTTAAGCCTACTTCAAAGATAGGCTTGCCTGCACCCTTCCCTAATATGTTCTCTATAGTAGGTTGCAAAGGGGTATGGCTTGACCATTCCAATAACGAGCATGTAGAATGTGATGGCTTTCATGGAAACTTAGGGAATTTGATTAGGGAGCTTAGAAGAAGTGAATTCACCCTACCACAATCTGCCACTCCATAATAAACATCTAGTCGGCCACTGCTAACAAGGCTGAGTCCTCTGCTGTGTCTGCATAGAGATGCATTGACAAGAACGCAGCCCAGAGACCAAGCAGATTATTACATGACTGTCTCGAGGGACCAGTTCTCCTCCTATGCGTGGTTTTACTTACCTTTTCCTTTTTGCCAAGACAAGGAAGGATGCTGGCTTAGTGCTAAAATTCTTGTTTTGAAATGTAAGTTCTTAGACTTATTTTTCATGATGATAATGTCTTATTTACTAAATATTTCGTGGTTTCTTGGAGTCATGTCAGGGTTGATCAGGATAAGTTATTTCTTGTATTTTACAGATTAATAAGAGAAGGACAAAGGGGTTTGGGTAATGGTGAAATATACACAGGGTAAGGATACATGTTAGATGAGACCCAGACTCAGATACTTTGTAATGTACCATTGTATTTATCCAGACGGTAATCAAATTAGGCAGCTCTACCTTCACCTCCACACTCAGACATTTGGATGCCACCATAGCTGGTTCTCAGCTCTGCATCCAGGGAGAAAGCCTGGCAGCACTACTTGTCTAAGACGTGTCCATCTCAGTCTTATGGAAAATTATAACATGTTTATTTCAGACTGTCAATGTACACGGTTGTGGATCCAGGCATGTGAAAGGCATACTGTGCCAAACCTTGAAGATCACAGCTCCTTAGTCATGATAATATAAAGGAAAAAGATTGAGATTAGAGCATCATCCAGATTCCAACCTCCATTTATTCCTTTGGCAAAGAAAGTTTCAGGATAGAATATGACCACTAGAAGAACCTAGAAATGATGACCAGATGATTTGACTACTTGAGTTCATGTCATTTTCTGCTGTCAACTGGGAATAAGTTTTGTGTCATTTAGAAACAGTACTGTGTCCTCACATAACCTTTTTTTCCCCCTATGCTCCAATTGTAATAAAGAGTGAGGAGATGAAACCATAAAGAAAAGAGAGGAGAAGAGAGCCAGCTAGGGCTCATGTATCATCTTCTCTTAGGGAACTGCTAGGGGCTCCACCTTTATGAACTCATTTAACCTGAGTACCTTCTTATTATTCCATATCCAAATATAGTCATGCTCATGGTTACACATTCAACATAATAACCTTGGAGGACATGATTCAGTTCATAATGTCGCCATAGATTCACCTCTCAATTCAGCCACATGTCAGTCAAACTCCTTCATCCTCCTTTTCCTCGACTGCTGGGATTTTGTGCCTGCCTCAAAAGGCTGATGAGAGGATTGAATAAAGGTATCTATAAATAAGTGTACATAAGTGACTTTGAAAACACCCAAAGATGGAAGGCCTCAGAGCTAAAATTAGAAAGATTGTGATTTGTCAGTAGGGCAAAATTCATCAAATAACTACAACTACTGAACTTTTTCTATAGATTCTGGATGCTATGGTTCTTTCCTGCGCCTACCAAAACTTATTGTTAATTGTCCCATCTGATCACTCTTGCTATTTATATACCTGACAGGATTACTGAACAGAAGGACATCTGCTTTTGTTTCCTCCAGAGTCTTCTCTGCCCTTTAACTATAGCTCTTTCCAAGCCTTTAAGTCACATGGTCTCATTCATCTCATTAGAGTACATGCATCCATTCCTGAAGGGAGGAGGCTTCCTGGACTCTGCAGATCAGTACACTCCCCTACTTATAATCCTGTCATATCTTGATTTGCCCATTGTATTCACACAGTGAGTAAGGCTACTGTTCATTCAACAAGTATGCATTCACTATCAAGAAGGTACAACACATTATTCTGAGAGATAAGTGCGTATTCTTGACAAAGTAGGTAGATTCCCAGATTCTATAGCCTTTATCTTCATGTTCTGATTTTTTCTTCAAGTTTTTTTATTTGATGCAAGGCATCCCCCCTTTAATCCTGTAAGATCCATGGATGTAGGAACCATGTCTAACTATATGTCTATGATCTGACATGAAGATTCATACATAGTAGTTGGTTAAGAAAATTTTGTAGATGAATGAATATATGACAATAAGCCAAGACCAAAGGGTTGTATTAATGATGCCAAAAGTTCAACTCTCAGAGACTGAGATGTGATAAGCTAATAGAGGGGCATGTCCCAGAGAGTCTCAGTGTGCAGCCTGTTGTTCTTTAGCTAACAGGCTTAGGAAAATTCTCTCGATGAGCTTGTGGTTTTTACCCATGATAGACCTCTGAGTAAGTTGGCCTCTGTGGTCTCCACGAGGCTCACTCTAATACTAAGACTGATGAATTATCATCTATAGATAAAAGTGAAAGTGTCTAGTTTGACCACCCTTCCTGTTGACTCCCAATGTTTTCCTATCCTCAATTGACCATAAGTATACCTAATTATAACCATAAACTGCTAGAATGTACAGGACCACTACATGGGGTCTTTTCATGCCCATCTCTCTTACTTAGCCTAAAAAGTATGTTCTAAATTTCTCCTGATTTTATGTGTATGGAGATGAAGAGCTGAGACAGATAACTCAAATCACAGGGGGTTGTAAGCAGCTGAACTGTGATGTGATTGAGGCATTTTAATTCCAGGGCTTCAGTGCTTCAGTTCTACTTTAGTTCAACCCATGCAGGATTCTTGTGGCCAACTGGTATGGAATCACATATCAACAAGTTGTTTACTTGGGCCATTTTCTATATCAAATTCTCCCTTCCCTAACCATCTGTCTCTAAAACCAACTCTGTTGAGGGCCAACTTGCACACCTAGAACCAGTATGTTCATGCTTTCCAGACACATGTGCAAATCCTAAGTATACAATTGTGTCAACTCTCACAAGCTATGTCTGGACTATAACTGGGTTTTTGACAGTCTCTTTTGACTCCACCTCTGTGGTTTTAACACTTTGGTCTTATCTTCAGACCCTATTTATGTTTCTGCATGAAAAGCAACAGCCAAAGAAGGATGGGATAGAAGCAAGTTAAAAAACTAAAACTGCTAAACAAAACAAAAAATGCAAGATTATGGAAACAGTGGGTAGAGAATGGACTAGAAGGAGAACATGAGTGGAAGAAGTGGACAAAGCATAGACAGTGGATGATCATCCTAGTCCGTGCTTGATGCCAGTGTGGGAGAAGCTTCTTCCTCATCACACCAGTTATCTTCCTGCCACAGAACCACAGGGACAGAGCCTCAGGCAGAGGCCAACTCAGATAGCACACCATGTCACCCACCTTCCAGGCACCCTCGGAGCTGGGGAAAGAGTAAGATACAGAACAGAAGCTAACTGCAGCAGCTGCCAGAGCCCAGATCCAGTGAGGCAGGCAAGCTGTGGTGCTGTCTGTTGCTCAGAGCTCAGCAAAGTACAGGAGCAGAAGAAGATGGGTGCCTTGCTTGCTTTCTCTCTGCCTCTGTTCAGAGTCTGAGAAGTAATGTAAATACAAGAGCCTTTCCAAAGGACAGTCTCTTCGGGTTTCTATAGCTGTGAGGAGACACCATGACCACTGCTACTTTTGTAAAGGAAGGCATTTAATTGAGGCTTGCTTACAGGTTCAGAGGTTTAGTCTGTTGGCATCAGGGTAGGAAGCATGATGGCAGGCAGATGTGGTGCTGGTCGGGTAGTTGAGATTTCTACATCTAGATTGGCAGGTAGCAGGAAGATAGTGACACTGGGCCTGGTTTGAGCATTTGAAACATCAAAGCCCATCTCCAGTGACATGCTTCCTTCAACAAGGCCTCACCTCCTAATACTGTCACTGCCTCTGAGCCTATGGGGGCCATTTTCATTCAAACCACCACAGATGGTCTTTAACAATATGGCCCAGAACCTTGGAGATGGTGGGCCATGTCCTAAAAGCTAGAAAATCATGTGCTTCATGGTTTCATTAGCTTTATTTAGTAGCTATAGTGATTTGAAAGTCCACCTGAAGCCTGGGGCCCTTGAAGTCTTGTCAGCCCTATGTGTGACAGGGAGTGGCCAGGCTCAGCCTCTGGGCCACACTTTTGTCTCTCATGGAAGTCACTTCCTTTCCACCAGTATGCCAACAAGCTCTGCTTCCTCCTGGATATGAGCAAGAGACCCTGTCCCTCTGTCCTTAGAGTGTGAAGAAGGAAGATTTGGGGCCTGACTGCAGCCAGTACTGCAGTGTGATGTGCTTAATGAGACATATAAATGCAGGCATTTCTGGACCTTACAAGAGAGAGGGACAGTGACTGCACACACAGCCAAAAGGGATGGTGCAGAGAGAAATACAGATTTCTTAAACACCATCTGTGAAATTGTAAGACAGTTTAGTTATACTAAGAGTTAAGTATCAGGCATAGGGGCAACTCATTGGAATCTTGTTATCACAAGCAGTCCAGTTAAGGAAATATCTGGGCTCTAGGATTTCTCCCCAGGTGAAGCATCAGTACCCTCACAGCAGTGTTGCTTATAGTCCACTAGACAGCTCCTAGAGACCCAGTGATCAAACCTCCAGTTTCTTTTTTAATGGCTGTTCCTCTGGGTTAAATCTGCATAGCATACTGGGTCTCTGAACTCAACTTTCTTCAACTCACACTAGCAGTAACAAGCCCCTGTCCAAGCTACCCAACATGACCTGTGGGCAAAGCACCACACAACCTGGATTCAATGCCCTGGCCTTCACACCCTGCCCCCCAGAGTGCCCCTGCCTTCACACCCTGCCCCACACAGTGCCCTGCCTTCACACCCTGTCACACACAATGCTCCTGCCTTCATACCATGCCCCACACAATGCCCCTACTTTTACACCCTGCCCC